AAACCCCTTTACTCATCTTCACACATCTTCCCCCACACACACACACACATACACCAACCCTATGGAACTGTGAAGTCTGACTTATGTGGAGCAGAACAGTAGGACTCATTCCTGCAGTTAAGGCTTATTGTTGTGCTGTGAACAAGTAAGTGAATTTGGATGAGGTTTAAGGGCAGTTTGACTTTCATCAATTCCATCAGAAAGGTTGTTTACTGACTAAATCAAAGCTGTGAGATAACTGTTGTTGTGGCGTTATATAAATAAAATTGAATTTAATAAAACTGTGTGCAGGGTAAATTAGAGGAAAAAGGATTAAGGGAAATTACATACTGAGTAGTCAACCCATTTTTAACAAATCTGTGATGATTAAAAGGAAAATCCTTATTATTTTCTATTTTGACATATGTTCTCCAAGCCAATCATATGATCAACAACCCAAAAAAGTTAATGACACACTTGGTGATTAGAGTATTAGAATCTAAACTTTGCATTCTTACTCTTCCAGGCGTTGAAAAAGTTTGCCTGCCACCTGATGCCAAAGTTACATACAAGGATGGAACAGATACTGACGTTGATGAAGAAATATTCAGGGACCCCATTAAACCAGGCAATGTTTAAGAGAAGGTTTATTGTCCCTAAGGTTGCGATATAAAAGCAAATTAAATAGAGCATCATACAGATTTTACAAAAGGAGTGTATTGCTTTTTGTCTTCACAGGTCTCTGGATGATGTGCTTCAAAGTCTGACCCAAGCCTCAGCTCAAATGCATCAACTTCGACAGTGGCATTGTCTACCAAAATGGTAACGATATCTTTTCTGCTGCTCTTAACTCTTTCACCCTGCTGGGACATATCTGTGAAATCTGAATATCGCCATACATTTCCTTTATGTTCATTTCATAGCAGTTTGAAGGTCTCCTTCAAAGCAAGTCTGGTGGTGAAGAAGTTCTACAGGAGTATAAAACAACGGAAACCCAACTGATGCCACATGAAGACAGATTGTAAACATAGTGGTGGCTCACATGATTAATAAACATGGGTAGGTGTGTTTTTACTCATTTTATTCAATGTAAAAATGGACCACTTGTCACTAATCAGAAATGAGTAAAGTCCTTTATTTAAAATGGTCTTCTTTGCTAATACCTGTATGTTTTTGAAGCCCTCCTGCTCTGTGTGGCTTGCCTCTAGTTTACCTGGCGTCTCCAGTGATCCAGCGTGCGTGTAGCAGTGGCGAGGGTCCGGTGGTGGCGTGCCACCCTGGTTTTCAAAACGATAGTTGGTAATACTGGGATAAAATCTTAGTGATTCACTATTAAATTATTTAAAGATGTAAAAATATGTTTCTGTTGTCGTGTGAGGAGGGATGGGAATTTAATCTTAGGAATATAGACGGCTGTGTGTGTGAAATTGGTTTTCACCGCACATACAGGCTCTTCCAACTGTTAGGGTTAGGGATCGATCCCTATAATTCCTTCTAAATGAAAGAATGCTGGACTGAACGTTGACCTTGACCCTGGTGTTGTCCATCAGGGTGAACAGGTGCTGGACGGCCGCTCTGGGAAAGGAGTCCTCTGTCCTCTCCGGTACAGCACTGCAGTCCAGTGCTGGTCCCGTTCATCCTCCATCACGTAAGTTGTCGTGCAAATAGTTTTTGTTTTGATAAAAGATGTTTAAAACTTTTGTGAAAAAGAGAAGACTTCCGTACTCGTGCTAAAACATTAATTCAGAGAACCCACGACATAAAAAAAATAAGTACTTTTTATTTAAACAAAAAAATAAATTAAAGAAATTGAAATAGCGAGCTAAAACACAGCAATGTTTCGATCCCTCTACGGGATCTTCCTCAGGCAGATGGCTTCCTCACAGAAAGTTGAAATTACAGAGGAGATCCTTCTGTGGAGCCGTTCTCTCTGCCTGTGGGGGGGCAGTCTTCGGGATGCCAGGCTTAAGACCACGTCAGCGGCTGCTGGGACTCGTCAGGGGACGGGGACCGGGTTTCTGCTTCCATCACCATCAGCGGGCTCCATGTCCCCAATCAGGGGATGCAGTCCAAGGGCCAGGGAGGGAGAGCGCCCCTCCAGGTCTGGACATTACGGTGAGGGAAGAAGAGAAAAGAGGTAGGAGGAAAGGAATCGCTGGGTCAGAGTCACAGTAAAAGTGTCCTATTGGTCCATTGAGAGTGGTTAGGGGAAATAAAAAGAAGGAATAGGGCAAATGAAATCTAAAGGAGTAATTGAAAGCGAGGGTAACTCACCCTTCTTCTTCTCACGATCTGG